AACTTCCTATGTAGCAGGGGTACTGTCAACCACTAATTCTACTGCCTCTATCTGTGAGTTGCCAGGATTACAGGCACACCAGGTTTTGTGAAGCGCTAGGAATGGAACCCAGACTCAGGCATTCTAGGCGAGTACTCTACCAACTGAGCTACATCCGGGGTCCCATTCCCACCCTTTGACAGAGTCTCTTTTATAGCCCAGGCTGGCCTTGAATTTGTGATCTTCCTGCCTCAGTCTTTATGACTGGGATTGCATGAACGATACACCCTGCTTCCCCGCTGGGTCCCTCTCTGAATGGCCCACCTCACCCACACACTTCCACACTTATGTGTTCAGGGGTAATACCACATGCATGTGTGCAGTGTGAGACTGGCCAGTGAGCCCCTGGCATTCACCTGTTTTCACCCTTCAGCACCTGGCTTTTCCATAGATGCTGGGAATCCAAACTCAGAATCTTTTTTTTTTTTTTTCTTTTGGTTTCTCTAGACAGGGTTTCTCTGTGTAGCCTTGTAGACCAAGCTTGTTGAACTCACAGAGAGCCACCTGCCTTGCCTCCCAAGTGCTGGGACTAAAGGTGTGCATTTGCCAGCATTGCCAGCTCGTAAGATTCTAATGCTCATGCAGCAAGCATGAGCCACCTCCCATGTGCTCTCCACCTCCGATACTCCTGCTACCTTCTGTGTGCCTCCCTCTGGATTATGGCGTTCCTGTTTCTTCTAGGGAGCAGCAGCAGGGCCCATGAAGGTCTTCATGGAAGGTCCTTGAGGAACCCTTTAACACAAATTCTCTGAGTAGCTCTGAATTTGCTTCCTGACACTGTCCCCCAAGAGACGCAGCCTTTAGCAAGTGTTCAACTTATGACCATCGATAAAGATAAACAAAAGCTCCGTTGTTTTCTTGTTGAAGAACCACAGAACCAGGTAATGTTCTAACTGGCATTTCCTTTCTCCACCTCATAAGAGATAAAATGTGAAGATTATACAGACAAAGAATTAATACAGAAAGGTTTCTGCTCTCCTACCTTCCCCTCTACCCTTAGCTCTGTGAGCTCAGGCAGGCCTCAAACGCCTTATGTAGCTGAGGATGACCCTGAACTCCAGATCCTCCTGTGTTGCCTCCCAAATACTGGTATTACAGGTTTGTATCACTACATCCCAGTCTGCTTTCATTGTTTCTGAACTGTGTAGAAGAAACTGCATTGTCTACCCTTTGCTGCACTGTTTCAATAGTTTGTTCCTCATTATTGCTCAGCACTATTTTATGATAATGATGTACATTTTAACCCATAAAGGGTTAAAGTGCTGTTAAAGGCTACCAGTTTGGGGCTAGAGTAAAGGTGAGGTGAACCTGTGTGTACAAGTTTTCAGTCGCCCAAGGATATAGAATCAGAGGTCACAATTTTGGTCTCTCTCATAGCCCAAGGTGTCCACCAAGTCCCTTTGTAGCCAAGGCTGGCCCTGAATCCTTCTGATCCATTTCTGCTTCCAATTCCCAAGCTGTTATTGCTTTTAAGGTCTTTTGTGAGCGGGAGGATTAGGATGTGGATTTTGCTAGTGTTTGACTGCAGAGATCAGAGGCTTGGTGGCAAGCGCCTTTAAGCTCAGAGCCAACTTTCCGGCCCCCAGGATGTGGACTTAAAATTAGGGTACTATTTCGTATTTACTACTCAAATGCAAGAATTCAGGGACTTTGCAACGAGCCCACCTCCAGGTACAGGGAAACCTTCGTAAACGCTGTGGAGGCACGAGAGCAGTGACCGTTTTGTGTCAGTAAAAGAGAACGAACTCAGATCCCAGATCAAGTACGATTCTGACAGGTAAGGACGCCACATCCGCGTTCCCGAAAGAAGCAGAGTGGTCTGCAGGGCTCCAGGTACCGGCGCTCCAATGTCCCGCCCTAAGGGCGAAGTCAGTGTCTAAGGGCGGAAGTGCGCCCGGAAGCTGGAGGGTGGGGCGATGGGAGCGACGTCCGGGAGCACCAATGGAGTGGTGCGGCGGGCTGGG